ATATATATATATATATATATATATATATATATATATATATATATAAATGTTGCAAACTTTCCAAACAACTCAATATACAAAGCTAAATCACAAATTATTCGCAATTTTTTCAAGTGAAACATAATTTAGATATTGCGGATAATTTCTGACTTATTCTAATAATATACTCTAAACTTATATATGCTATAAAAACGCAACATATGTTTAAATCTTTTGTCTAAGTTCTAATTTTTAATATCAGATACCATGTGTTATATAAAATTACCGATTGTTTGATTATCGGTAGTTTTAAAATCGACCGCGATTATAACAAAATTGATTGAACAAATTTTTGGTTGTGTTATTTAGAATTTATAAACATTATTAATTTTTTTCAGGTATTATTTGGCGGTACTTTTTTTTTATTACTGAGTTGTTTTTGTTATTTATTTTTGTGGAAAATTTATTTATTTTTTTACAAAAATAAATATAATATCTTTAAAAGAGTTACAATTAGCTTGTTTATATAACTTGAAATTGGAGTATAGCGGAAACAGGTAGAAATTAATTCGGGTTTCAGAAAAGGAGCTCTGCAACAAAAGGATTATAATAATTTGCAAGGAAACAAAGCGTTTTCCAATTGAGAAGTAGTAATTAGAAGATTTGTAGCTATAGTCTAAAAGACGAATTTTATAAAAATATATTATTAATATCGTATTGGGAAAAAATAATGCTAATAATGCACATTTTAATATGAAAGAAAAACTTGTAAAAACGGTAATTTTAATGATACAACCTAATGTCGTGTTCTAATATACGTGGAGTTTGTGCCACAATAATATAAATTCTAACATTATAATATGAACAATTCTGTTGCAAGAAGGGTAATATCTTATTCCTTTTTTTGTATTTTTCTTTTGATGTTTGATAAATGTTGACATACTCAGTTTTGAATTATTATTTTTGCTATTTCATTAAGATAATAAGATCAAAAATTTTCTAGGGCTTATTACACACATTATATATATATAGAAACATACAGAAAATTTTTTATCTTATATATATATACACACACATACTACATATATATTTTAAATCTTGATTATTGTTTATGATTTTAGGTATTATTTGGCGATACTTGCGAAGATGTTTTAAGTGCGCTTGGTGCGCCGTCTAAAGTATTTTATAAAGCTGAGGATAAAATGCGTATTCATAGTCCACACGCGCACAAACGGGACAAGATAAGACGATCAGACTTTTTCTATAATTATTTCACTTTAGGTTTGGTAAGGATATCTTTTTATCGAATGAAACGATATGATTTTTTTTTGTTTTTACAATTAAATTAAAACGATACAACCAAACTTATTACCTCTGACGCTGCTCAAAAAACATTACGTCGATTAACCCTTTGAGAGGCACAGTTTTTCTGCTTTTTGTTATTACTATTTACTTACATATATGATCTTTAAGTCACTGAATACAAATCTAAATAAAATTAAGAAATTTGAAATAGCAGATGTATTAAAGCAATAGAGAACTGAATTTATATATATTATTAAATATAAATCGATTTGCACAAAACTAAATACATTTATTAAAGTCACTTTGATTACAAATCTAATGACAGATTTGAGAAACTCAAAATAATAAATTAAAAAATATCTGTTATCGTAAAATATCACATAATTATTTATTATGAATAAATAATTGTTATTAACAATATTGGGGAGCACATCACATATTATTAATAATACTATATCAAGATTAATATTAGAAATTAAATTCAAAAAATAAATTTGTAAAAACAGCTTTCCTACTTTATTAGTTTACAAGAAACTGATTTTATTTACAAAATTAAAGCCATTTTTACACTTAACATTTTCATTAATAAAATTAAATAAACAAATTTATTAAAATTACTCACAATAATTATTGGATCAAGAAAAATTACAGAAAGAAAGACAATTTTAAAGCATTGTAACTTCGCGAAAAATGATCGTATTTTGATTCTAAAGAAAGCATTTTGAAGCATGAAACTTCTTTCAAATGCCTTTTGTGGATTTATGGCACGATAATAAAGTTTGATTCGTCAAAATAAAATTTTTAATGCGACACCAGGCGTAGAAAAAATCAAGGAGAATTTCTGTCCTTGCATCTTATAATGGGATCTTTTCTCTTCAATTCGAGTCGTGGATCGTGAATTCGAGTGGTGCGACTATTTTGACCAAGTTATCGACGTTTGAAGAAAAACTTGTCATTTTGACTTTAATCGCTTATCACTTGAAAAAATCAACCTACAGCACTCCGCAAACAAAAATTGGAAAACTGAAAGTTAGTCCTTTCGAATGCTGTTATTGTTTTTTCTTAGTCCTATTTTTTAATAAAAAATCGTGTTCAAAAAATACGTAAAAAAAAATCACATATTTGTTTTTTCTTTAATTCGCTACATTGTCGCGAAGGAGAGTCCAATAAAAATCGCTAAGGCAAAATTTTTTAGTCCAATTATATTAGGTTGTCCCAAAAGTTCTTTACGTTTTCTTACTAAAAATTAAATACTCAACCTTTTATGAACGACACAATTTATTGAAGTATATACGAGCTATTCTGCTCTACCACCTTTCTCCATCTCTCCGGAAGCCTCATGATGCCATTTTTCCAAAATGTCTTTGATTTACTGACAAAATATCGATCGAGGTAATTTTTTATGTCATTCGAAGAGTAAAATTTTTTATCACAAAGAAAATTTTTTAAAGAAAGGAATAAATAGTAATTAGAAGGTAATATTAATAGTAATAGTAATAAAGGTAATATTAATAGTAATTATAGTAATCAGTTACTTTTCATGTTGGTAATATATTAAAAATTTAGATAATTATTAAAATATAAACATATTGAAGTGTCTTTTTTGGAACTTGGCCAGACCTTATCATTTATGAATTTTTGTGAGATATCACCTACCTTTTAGAACACAGAATTCTACCCCAGATTTTAATGGGGTTGAACGGGGGGTTGAGTATTTAATTTTTAGTAAGAAAACGAAAAGAACTTTTGAGACAACCTAATACGTCAACAATGAACAATCAGCTAAAACTTTTTTCCATGTGTCCATTGTTCTTGAATCAACCGAAATTGCTGAAAATTAAGTGATCAAGCCGCACTATTGCAGTAAATAAATGAAAAATTTTTATAAACTATTTTTATTATTTTTTCATCACTATAAGAGTTCTTGTGCTACTTTGTAAACAAAAAATGGGGAAAGTTTTTTTTATAATAAAATTATAAAAATTTGTCGATATTTGCTTTATTCAAAGCACACTACATGGAGGTTGTATGATCGGATTTATGTGATAATGGTATAGTGATTAAGTGTGCGTCTAAAGATAAAATTATTTATTTATAAGAAAATATTCTCTGGTAATATATTTGAAAAAAAAAAGCAAAAAATGAAAAAGTGACTTATATATGACTCTCTCAAATGGTTAAAAGACTTTACTTTTCTGCTATTTACTCTTTTTTCTCAAATAATATGTCAGAAATATAAATAGGAATATTTCACTATTAAAATATCGGTAGTTTTAAATTTCATATTTAGATAATTGGGTTCAGTGGATTAGAGATAGCTAACTCTGTTTTAGATAGATTAGTTAGAATAAAAAATAATTTTTGCAACTAAAATATTATGAGTTAATAATAATTAAATATCAATAATTTTATTTAACTTTATTAATAATTCAATATTAATAGTTTCTGAAACTATACACTGTGTTACTTTGTTTTTATTTTTAACTACTTTTTACTTGTTAATTTTATGTTTAATAGATGATTCTTTACAGGATATCTTGTTTAATGCGAAAACTCAATGTATAAAAAAATTTGTACTTCACACAAATTATCCAGGACACTACAACTTCAATATGTATCACCGTTGTGAATTTTCTTTGACTTTGCCACCTGAAAATAATTCTACGGAGTCGGGAAAGTTAATCGACGTATCTCCTTCTCCAGTTACAGTAAGAATTGATTCTTTGTAAAATATGTTTTAACTTCTGAAAACTGATGTAGTAGAGGAAATGCAGTTTCAATGATGATCTTGATCTTGATGTATGTATCGAGGTCACAATCCTGAGTAATCAGAAGGTTTTAGTTGTCGCTTATTGTTTATTGAAAAATTAACAAAATAAGTTTAATGAATAGTATATAATTTAATAATAGTAATAATAGTATATAATTTTCTGTCATGTACATTTAACAAAATGTACTCTTAGCAGATTTATTTATTTAATTTACCATGTTTTAATATAAATATATATACGTTGCGAAAATATTCTGAACAACAAAATCTTTATTCATCAATGAATGGGACAGAATTAGTTAATAGATACAAAAATGCCATTATTTTGAAAAACAATATGTTGAAGTTACGAATTCGCAACAAGAACTGTGTATCTAATGATACTTCTATACACAAGAAAAAGAAAAACATTTGCAGGATAATAATACGATCTTTTCGAAGACAGATCATACTACATATTATCTTGCAAATGTTTTTCTAGGCAGGAAAAATATGAGGAATGTTTATTTAAATTGCTAATTTTAATTGTTAATAAATTTTTAATAAACAATAAACTAAAACCCACGCATTCAATTTATCACATTAAAAATAAATAACGTACATGGTGTCAAAAAATTATGTTCTGTCCATTAAACTTATTTTATTAATAACTTTTTAATAAACCACGAGCGTCGGCTAAAATTTTTTGATAGTTATTCAGGATTGTGACAATGTATGTCAAGATCAAGATTATGGATTTGGAGCTTGCATTCTCTATAATGTATAATTAGCCCATTTATAATTATAGATTTTTGAAGTCTTGAATTTAAATCTCGAAATGTTTAAATTCAATATGGTAAACTTAAAATAACCTATAGCAAATGCAAAATTGAAAAATTATTCTATTTTTGTCAAATTTGATTTTTCAGAGTTTTATGGACCTTGAATTCGAATCTAATAGCAAAATTTCAAAAAAATATTTTTGTAAAACATGAGATAAATTTATTGTACAAAATTTTAATTTACATATTACATATTTAAATAAAGTATTTTATCTGTTATTTTTGAACTTAATTATATTTTACCTTAAATTTTTTTTCTTGTATTATAATATACTTACACCTTAAATTTTTTAATTAAAAATTTCTAAAACTTTGAAAATTTTTATATAAAATCTATTATTCAAACTTCTAATTGCCATCTTATGTTCACAATTTAAAGTTCAAAAATTTTAACTGTAGATTTGAATTTAACGTCTCAAAAAACTTCAAAAAAACAAACATGCAATCTTCACGTAAAAGACTTCGCATAATTTTTATGGGAAACCGTATTGAGTCAAGTTGTCTAAATTTTTTAGATATGATGTAGATCTTGTATCTCTGATAAAAAAACTCAATGGGCACAAAACCTTAACATGGACAGTTTTTGAATTATAGACATTTGAAAGTCTTTCACAAGATCTGTTTGCATGCCTACGCGAGTTGTGTATATTTTTCTGTGTATATCTGTAGATGTTCTTATATTTGTGCAAAATTTGTGCGTGCGCGCGCGCGTGTGTGTTGCGTGTTACTTTTATTTATTAATGCAAACTGGTCAGCGGCCGAGCATTGAAAATATCAGTGCTGTAGCGCTGGCTAAAGTGGGGCGACTAGTCATTAAGCAATTTCCAATAATAAAAATAAAAGTAACATACAGGCACAAATATTTACACAGACATAAAGATATCTATAGACGTCCATGCACACAAAAATACACATACACAAGCAAGCATGCACAACTCACGTAGCGGTTAGCATGCAAATGGATCTTATGAAAAAAAACTTTTAAATATCTATAATTTAAAAACCATTCATGTGAAGGTTTATGCCTATTGAGAGTTTTTTGATCAGAGACACAAGACCTATACCATATCTCAACAATTCAAACATTTGACTAATCCTTTAATTATTTTTTTATGAAAATTATTTTTGGTTATAAAGCATTTTTATTTTTTAACAGTTAATTAATACATTACTATTAAGGAATTAATACATTATTTATTGAGTGATATATTTAATATTATCTTGCAGATCACTGCCTATACAAAATGGGATAGAGTGAGCGAACAATTGAAGGCGAGTGCACGTCCCGTGGTATTAAATCGTGCATCTTCAACGAATACAACTAACCCGTTTGGTTGTACATTTTGCTACGGTATACGAGATGCGATTGTTGAAGTTATGGCTAATCAACATATCGCAAGCATTACTTTGTATAAAACGGCGTGACCTTGTTCATCTATATGATATAATGCGTTATGTAATACAATTTGTGACATGCAGTTGGAAATGGTAAAATTACTTTAGCTATTTTTCAAGATCTTATATTTTCCAGTGAAGACGAGACAAGAAAATAATTGTGCATAGAATACTAAAAAGGCTTTTTTTAAATAAACAATACTGTTATTTTAAAATATAAAAATAATAAATGTTGTAAACACAAAGTAAATATTAAAAAAAAAACAGCTATATAAACTATATTAAACAAATGCAAAAACAAAAGTCTATAGAAAATCAAAAAATACATTGTTTTAAAATTTATGTAGTTATGTATATAAAACTTTTTTAAGCCTTGTCTCGTAGCTATAGATACTTGGATCAATTTTAAGTTGATTTTATCGCAACAAAAATGTTATTTGAAGCTTTTTCTTCAATGATTTTTAATTTTTGTCATTAACACATTGACTGCCCAGCAAAGTTTGTATGTCTTACCGTATATGCCGTGAATTTTTATTATCAGTTATATAATGATAAAATTTTGCTTTATATGATTAAATTATACTATCTTATTACGAATAATACGTTTATCTTATTGGATGTCACTAATGACCACCAATTTAGAGGAAAGGCACCGAAACCGACATACCATTTTGTTTTTAGGAAATATCTTATAGCTAAAAGTCCTAAATAAACATTTATGTGCATAGATATATACTATATATATAGAAACTGCCCTCTATCGAATGGTATAATATTTTTTATAATACTGTTCCGAACTTTTAAGAAAATAATATTTTTGTAAGACACATGAAAATTGAATTCCAAAACTGGCATATCTATAAAAACTATAAAACAGCTTAGAAATATAGAAATGTATTGCAATAAATTATTGAATGATACAATAGATTGTTCAATAATACAAATTTATTGCAAATTTTATAATTAATTAGAAAGACACAAACAAATATAGAGAAGACATGATATTGCAAATTTAGTATTACAATACATAAATATCATTTCATAATGTCTGTATAGAAATAACATGTATAGTAATTTTTTATAAAAATAAAGATACTTTTGAAGAGAGAGAGAGTTATATTATGATCATAGAGTGTCGCATCCATCACAAGGTATGCCGGTTTGTGGTACAGTAATTAAATTTTCCAAATTATACCGTAAAAAAAACAATAAAGATAAAAATAAAAGTAAAATATTTTTAGATAGCTACAAACTTGTAAAATAGTTTGATATTATAAAAAAAAAAATTATTATTTAGACTGCATAATTCTTGAAAGAAAATCATAAAAATAAAACTCGAATTTTAAGATTTTGATATTAGCTGATGTAGCATATAAATAAACAGGAAATATATAAACTTTTTTTAATGAGTTAATTAACTAAACATCACGTTTATATTACTTTTGATAAAATATAGCATTTTATTTCTGAAAAATAGGAATACGCCACTTTAGAAGGTTCATGCCATTTTTGGCGCCTTTCCTCTATATTATGCAATATTCTATTTACCTACAAAGTATCTATTATTTTTTATTGGTATTTATGTTACCTATATTATTCAAAATTTTTATTCGATAATGATCATGGCAAGCATTTTAAACAATTTGGTAGCGCCGGTAATTAGTGACCACCAAGACGCTAGAGAAAAGAAAAGCGCCGGCCATGGATGACCTACCATGGCAGTCAACATGTTAATTAATCTTTACACATATATCGATGGAATTAGCTGAAAAGCACTACCGCTATACAATGTAGCAAAATACTATCTTGTTCTAAGAATATTAATTTTTTTCTATATGTAGAATAAAAATGCATAATTTCATCATATTAAATAAATTAACATATCTCTACAGATTATTGTATGTAAATTGAAGACTAAAAACTCGTAACATTAAAGTTTTATAATAGTTCTTCATGTAATAAAGGTAAATCAATATAATGACTCATCATAGGAATATACAATAAAAATTACTATATCTTTAATTAAATAAGTAATTAAATATCTTGACCATCAAGTATCTAATTAAAGTTATGATTATATTTTTAAAAAATAACGTTATTTTTCTATTTATTTTTAACCTTCAAACAATTTTTAAAAATTTTAAGAAAGCATAACTTCATGTCATTTTAAGAATCTATAGCTGAGAGAAAGATGTTACTACTTTATGAGAATATAAAATTTACATTTTGTTGAAAGAAATTTGAAAAGTCGATTAAAAGATGTGAAACTAAGTGCAACATATATATAACAATATTATATTTAATATGGCATCCTTATTCTTTGTCATAATTTTATAATAATAATAAAACAGATAAAGCTATAATGATAATATGTTGATTTGAAAAAACAAAAACAGATTTTTATATAAAAAATATACAAATTTTTATGGATAACAATCTCAAGTATTACATAATTTCAAGTATAAGGATTAGTATGATTAATAATCTCAATATAAAATGTTATCTTTAAAGAAAATTAACTATCAATCTTCGTAAATTTTTTAAGAATGAGTGTAACAAAAATACTGAAAAATAGGTCAAAAAGTGATTGACATATTCATAATATAAAATTAAATATAAAATACTACAATTAGCATTGAAATTTTTTGATAGTTATTATTTGATTATTAGCTACTTTAAATTATAACATCAAAAGTGAATGAGAAAATATAAGAAAAGCCAGAATTCTTACAAATTGAAATTCATAAAAATATTCCTATCAATGAATATGCACTAAATATAATATATGTGTTGAAAAATATATTGGATTAATGTGAGTTTGTAAATTATTCTAAGCGATACATATTTTAAGTACTACATAAAGTGTGTAAAGATATGTATGTATTTTTAAATTTTACGTACTATACCTTTGTGATATAATAATAACGCAAAGAATTCTAGAGTTCCAAATTTTCATGATTACTATCACATAAACATTTTATATTTTCACATGATACATACATCAAATAGATTTTTCCTCGACAAAAATATAGAGACATCAATATTTTCGGGATTCATAAAGAATGACTGGAAAAACTTTTCAGCTCGAAGACTGAAGAAAGAAGATAAATATCTGAGCTGAAATGTAAACAAATAACAAAGCTAAATGTTATTTAGTTAATTTCAAATAAACTGTAATAACATTTCAATTTAAAGCTTATTGAGAAAAATATATGAAAAAGAAAGACGTGATGATTTTTTTTCGACACTTTTGTTGAGGAAAAATCTATTTTTCAAAAGACTTCGCACGATTCTTATGGAGAAACCGTGTTCGGTTAAATTGTCTGAATTTTTGATATGTTATAATTCTTGTGTCTTTGACTAAAAAACTCAATCTTTACAACTGCATAGTTTTTGAGTTATAGACATTTGAAAGTCCTTTTTTGCAAGATCCATGCTAACCTATGCGAGTTTATCATGCATATCTACCCGTATATGTATTTTTGTATACATTAATGTTCATAGATATTTTTATGCTTATGCAAATGTTTGTGCATATATGTTACTCTTATTTATTAATAGAAATCATTTAGCGGCTAAGTTCCGAATATATCATACCGTACCGTAACGCTGCGCTCCTGGAGTGGAGCGCTCGGCCGTAAATGCACCAACTTCCATTAATAAATAAAAGTTGCATATTTGTATAAACATTTGCACAAACATAAGAGATTTGGTCGCATCGTATGTCCCAACATGCTCCTATTCGCTCCAATATACTTCAATCTATAGTATTACGTTACATATGTTATACAAGGTGAGGACAAAATACCGGTACCCCGAAATATCTCGAAAAATATAAGTTTTATAGAAAATTGTTTCAGATAAAAATTGTAGGGTTTAAAAAGATCTATTTACTGATCTTATCAGTTTGACCTTGGGTGGCATCGCCAAGGTCAGGACAAGATCACCTTGAATTTTTTAAATGGAATCCCCTATTTTTTATTGCATATTCTTGTAGTCGATCTTGAGAGCTTTTCAAAACGCTATAATGAAGTTATTTTTCGTTAAAAACTTTTCGAATTATGAGGCTTGAAAGTTACGGTAGAGTGAGAAAGAAGCGCGTGAGCGCGTTGCCTCATTCTCTTTTTCTTATTCGTCAATGATACACAAATATATACAGGGTGGGCCATTTTAATCTATGCAACCAAATTTCTCCGTAAGTAAGCCAAATACAGAAACATGGTTCAGACAAAAGTTCTTCAGGACAATGGGGGTCACCTATTTGTGCTAATGACTTTGACCTTGAAGTCAATTTTCAAGGTCATTTGAAGGTCAGAGTTATTTTTTTAAATAGAAACCCCTATTTTTGATTCCAAAATCTAATAGCTGGTGTCAAGAGCTTTTCAAAACACTATAATGAAGTTATTTTTCATTAAGTACTTATCGAGTTATGAGGCTTGTAAATTACAGTATTTTGACATAAAATACAAAATATCTTGTAAAACATTCAATTTTTGGGAATCTTACCTTAATACTTTTATGCATAAAATAATGAGATGAATCAATTGGTATAAAGAAAACACATTGATTTAAAAAGTATGCAGTTGCATGTTGCAAATTACATATTTTTTCTTGAAAGCAACTATGTGTTTTCTTTATACCAATTGATTTGTTTCATTATTTTATGCATAAAAGTATTAAGGTAAGATTCCCAAAAATTGAATGTTTTACAAGATATTGTAAGATATTTGATCTTAAACCGCTAATTGTCAGGATAGGAAGCGGTAAGGCACCGGGTAACAAACTTGAGAAATATTTCTAAGTCCACTCAGCCTTTATTCGGGATCACGATTACAAATTTTAAAAACTTGTTAACTATTCGAGAGTTCGCGGAGATCTCTTTCGGAGCAATCTTTACGTACGAGCTCAGCTTGTATTACAGTGTTGCCACATCTCGGGCACTTATACTTAGTGTCTAACCAATAGGTGGCAGGAGCAGGACTTATCTTTTTAATGAAATTCTTACAATATTTTGTATTTTATGTCAAAATACTGTAATTTACAAGCCTCATAACTCGAAAAGTACTTAATGAAAAATAACTTTATTATAGTGTTTTGAAAAGCTCTTGACACCAGCTATTAGATTTTGGAATCAAAAATAGGGGGTTTATTTAAAAAAATAACTCTGACCTTCAAATGACCTTGAAAATTGACTTTAAGATCAAAGTCACTAACACAAATAGGTGACCCTTATTGTCCTGAACAACTTTTGTCTGAACCATTTTTCTGTATTTGGCTTACTTACGGAGAAATTTACGTGGATGGATTAAAATGGCCCATCCGGTATATATATATATATATCTTTGTAATATATAATGTAATAAAAAGTGGTATAATAGGGCTACAGGCGAAGATCCACTTTAAAAAAAATCTAACGCGCTATTAGTGGCACCTCATGAGTAGCGTGGAAGACCACTATTAATTATTATTACTAAATAATTATTTATATATCTTTTTTCAGTTATTTATAAATTTTACGTGTTCTTCTTTAAATATATTCATATTTCTGTTAAATATAATCACATTAATAAATATATGTATCATTATGTATCATGAATAAACAAATAGTAAAAAAAAAGTAAAAAAATCTACATAAATCTCTTTGACTTATTTCTTGTTAAATCAGGCCTCGGAATTATTTCATCTTTTCAGCCGATTCTCGTGGTATATGCCTCCTTTCCTCTCTTCACCGCGCGCGCGGCAGCCGCTAGGGCCAGCGCCGCCGAGCGTTAGGAGCAGCGCTATCCGATAAATGTTGGGTTCTTCTTCCTTGATCATTAAAAGTTAAAAAAATATTATATATATTTTTATTTTAAATTTATTATGTGAAAATATTTCAATAGATTTCCACGTCACCCATAAGGTACTATTGCTATTGAGGAAAAAAATATTTTTAATAAATTTTTTAACATTAATCGGATAGCGCCGCTCCTAACGCTCGGCGGCGCTGGCCCTAGCGTTTGCCGCGCGCGCGGTGAAGAGAGGAAAGGAGGCGTATACCACGAGAATCGGCTGAAAAGATGAAATAATTCCGAGGCCTGTGTTAAATTATCAAATCTAAATGTGATCTATATAAGATGTACCATAAACTTGAAAAAAATCGGACACCACTCAGTCTCGAAACCTGATCTGCGTTGTGATAGACCAACTATTTTCCGTTAAGCCACTGCACATTATTAAGAATGAGATCGATGCTATCGTTACTTGTATTACATTTGCATAAAAGACTGAATTTCTTTCTACATTGAAATTATTATTTGAATCACTCTTTACGATTAATACTTTTTTTTTTGAAGGATCGAGAAAGAGAAAACATTTTTTAATACAGATCATATGTTAGTTATATAAAAATATGTATATTTTATTGTACATGGCATGTACTAAATATTACAAAAACATTATAAAAAGCATTTTTTAATATAAAAAATTTTTATAATTATTTAATAAAAACTGATTTGTTATTGTTAATAAAAAAATTAAAAATAATTTTACAATTCTGCAATAAAAGCTTATTAAATATTATTTTTATATTAACATTATTTTAACATTATTTTATTATTAAACTTTATTTTAATTTATTAATTTGATTATATACAGTTGAAAAAAATGCAAAAAAAGGAAAAAAAGTTGCAAAAAGTAGGTCTCGAATATGGGATCTTTAATATTCAAGCGATTCGCCTTACTCGATTAAAAAACGCTTGATTCTTTGTTGTACGTTGCTGTTGATCAAACAGTCTAACGCACGGCAAGGACGCGTGACGTAAATAGCTTCGCTTGTGGATATAACATGGACATGAACCATCTCAGAAAATAGACGTGACTTTTTGACCAATGCGGAAAATGGACGTGGCTATTTAGTTCCTAAGCCGGCCGGAAATGGACGTGCGTCACTAGCGTACGGCCTAGAGAAAGCGTCGTACGGAAAACGGCAGCGTGGCCTCTCTCAGGTTTCTCTCTGTTACTAGTAATAACTAGTAACTTGTAGTAACTTTTACGGAAATTTCATGAAATTACGGCTCTATGGGACACAAGGAGATAAAAACACACGTAACGTTACGGACGAAATACCTAGTAACTTTTGTGGACTTTCAGTGCGGATTACGGGCTGTATGTGACGGCACCCTAACTCGAACTTGAATTATCGTAAACACCTTCTAGCAGTCTAGTTCAGAACTAAACGCATTCCATCAAGTATCCAAGCACGGTGTTTGACCGTGTCACACAGTGTCGATCTGTGTTTCCTAGATGGAAAGCTCCCATTATGTCAAACACTGTGTGATTTTGTGTCACTTGTGTCTCTTGGTAGAAAACTACCGTAGTAAACACTGTGACTCGGGAAAAATAATATCTTGTCGTGATTTGTTTTTAATATATTCCTTATATAACTGTACAACTTAGTAAAGAGCCGGATTTTGCAATTTCGTCCTTAAAAATTTATAAAAAATTAAAGTACACGTTTTTATAAAAAAAAATTTTTTTAACCATTTTTCCAAAAAATTACTCATTACTAAGTTACGTATATTTTTTTTCAATATAAATATCATAATTGCTATGCGTTTTTTCCGTAATTATTTCCGAAATTTGTTTATTACGATTTCGAGCTTTACTTCTATTCCGACAGAGGTGCTAGTTTCACTCCTGTCGACCCTTAAAGCTTACTACATCTATTGTAGACCCGGCCTTATATTTATATGGAAAGCGCATTCTATCTCAGTATCTATAGAGTTCAGTGCTTGAAAATTACATTGTACTGTGATTATATCGTAGTCAGGACGCATTGTAGAATGTATATAATTTAGTGGATTGTACCGCGTTATCGAATTACATAGTTAATAAAAATATGTAGAAATTGCTTTGTAAAATAACTTGGTTGCAAACAAAATGATAGAAAGTGAAAAAAGCAGAAAAAAAACAAAGATACGGAATGTCTTTGTTACTTCGCTTATTGTGAGCAAAATGTTTCATTATAAATTGCGTTTATAATATAGTTTTATTATATAGACATATTTTACATACGTTTTAACTTTCATGGATATCTGTGTTTTAAGTGATATTTTTCATAACAAAAGACAAATGGTATCATAAATAGACTGATTAGAATTGTGTGTTAGTCTCTAAAATCGGAAACTGATTTTTTGGTTTTTGCTAATTAACTCGCTCATATTAATCTATATTTTCATTTGTGAAAAGAAATATAAATAGAAGAGTACTCATTATGAATATTATCAAAACAATCATTAAGAAACTAAGCCTATTTTTTAATGATTTTATGATTTTTAAGTTAGAATTTTATTAAATTTTTTAAGTGTTTGTGTTTTCAATTTCACAGTTTTATAGCAATTTTCAGATTTATCACAGAATATTATTTTAGCATATAAAAAATTTTTTTAAATTTGAAAACTATAAAAGTGTTGAAAAATTGCCCGGTCTCTAAAGATTAATAATTTTGATAATTTGAATAATTATTTTTATCATCAATGATGATGAAGATAATGATCATTAAACTGTTTCATTCTATTTTGAATCATTTTTACCAATGAGTAAAGTTTAAAGAAGTAAAGATAGTTATTAATTAAAATTAATCATCAAGATCATTTAGAATGCATAAAATTAAAAAAAATTATTTTGACAACAAAAACGGTAGTAGCAAAAAATTAAAAGTGAGCTTAACCATAAGGTTTGCGCTTTGATTATCTTAAAGTCTCGATTCATCCGATCAAAATTCAACTTACTTTTTCTTTTATCGATTTTATAACTGACTTTTTAAGAAAGGCAATGAAAACTATATTAGTGACTAATGGCAATGAAGTCAGAAGATCAAAACAAAGAGTAATTTCTAGTTATAAATGTAACATGTAAACAATACTCGCACACTGATTCTTTATATATATATATATATTACTTAAAATTATCTTATACTTTAAAGTTACTAAATTTACCTGAAAATAATTTAAATTTTACAGCAAATATTTTCAGTTCTCTATACCTGTTATTTTAGTGTTCTTATTACGTTTCTTTATTGAAAACTAAAGAAACATCAGAATTAATTAAGATTAATTACTAAATTTAATATAGCGAAACTAACATAAATGATAAAAACAAAAAAAGTATTCAATTTTTCATTAAAAGAATCTTGTATCCTTAATACTTTTTATATACACTAATAAAACTCTAATAAATAAAACTTGTGGAAAGTGTTTTATTCCAGAGATTCACTGACCGAAAGTTATTTACTTACAACTGTAGCAAAACATGAGCATTGTACTGTGTAACTCATTGTAACAGCATCTGTGATTAGTAATTGTTTATTTTGTTTTTTCTAGATAATTTCAAGGAATAATCCCATCTAAAAGTCGTTTTTTTTTTTTTTATTAAATACAATACAATATTCTTATTAATGTTGTAGGAATCTTAAGCTTTATTTTATTGTGATCATTACAAGTTACAAAAGTATAAGAAGATTGCAATATCAAAATATCACATAAATTATGTAGTGAGCTCCAATATTACAAGCTAACATACGTTTTTATTGGACAAAATAGTTGTAATTAGTATTATTATCCTAACAAATAATTACAACTATTTTGTCCAATAAAAACGTATGTTAGCTTGTAATATTGGAGCTCACTACATAATTTATGTGATATTTTGATATTGCAATCTTCTTATACTTTTGTAACTTGTAATGATCACAATAAAATAAAGCTTAAGATTCCTACAACATTAATAAGAATATTGTATTTTAATTCAGATCTATGTTTTCTGCATTTGCTCACTCAATCTATTCTGATTTTTTTTTATGTTTATCTCTTTCTATAGCGATTCCCAATTGCCTGTCAAATTATAAAATACAAAACTGCGCACATCCCATACAGCACAAAACATCCTCAGGATATCCTTAGGACATCGAGGATATTTCGGTGTCCCAAGGATGTTCTGAGGACATCGAGATCTCCCAAGATGTCCTAAGGATATATAGGATATTTTGTGCTGTATGGGATAGCTTATGCTTACAATATGAAATGCATTGTTTTGAAATTTCAATGACTTTCAGCTAATATTTTATAACAATACATTCTTAATTTATTGGCCCATAATAAAGATCCTAAGTAAATGAAGCTGTTTTAAGTGGTTATATTGGTCAACAAAAATCAACTTTTTTTTGTCACAAGAACTTAAATGAGTAAATCTAATAGTATTTTTTATGCTGAAATCAAATATATTTTTAGATTTTCTCTATCTGACACAGTAATTAAATAACATATGCTCAGATAGATTTGGATGCATCTTTGATATGTAATTGCAGCATGTATCATATAAAAATTTATCCAAAGATGCGTCCGCACTAAATATTAATTTACAAGTTACATTTTGTCGACATGTTATGGTCACAATTAAATACTGCAGTTATGCGCAACAAATGTCAATCATGCATAACATATGTCGCCAAATAAAGTTTGTCTAGAAATATGACAACATAATAGCAGCATTTAATTGTGATTAAAAACCATTTGTCTTTTGTTATGAAAAATATCACTTAAAACACAGATATCCATGAAAGTTAAGTATTTAATTTTATCAAATTAAAACCATACTTACAATACTTACAAAAGTATTATTATTTAAGTATTCAATTTTATCAAATTAAAACCACCCAGATAATAAATATGCTGAACATTAAATGAAAGCATACAATGATATAATTGTAACAGTATACAATGATGATTGTTTTTAATCGCAATTAAATGCTGCTATTATGTTGTCATATTTCTAGACAAACTTTATTTGGCGACATATGTTATGCATGATTGACATTTGTAGCGCATAACTGCAGCATTTAATTGTGACCATAACATGTCGACAAAATTAATATCAAAATTAATAATAGTGCGGACGCATTTTACATAAATATGCTACAGTTTTATATGACACATGCTACAATTATGTATCAAAGATGCATCCAAATGTCTATGTGAGGTCTATCTAATGTTTGGGGTGGATGATAGAACAAATCTGATTGCATATTTGAATTCAGCGTAAAAATATACTTTAAAGACACCAATTAATTTTCTTATGATAAAATTAGTTTTTGTGTTGACCAATATTATTTATACTTATTGGTGGCATAGATAACTTAGCATTTTGATGACAATTAAAAAAATAATTATAATTATTAAAAACGTAAATATTTACATTGACAATTTCGTTCTAGCACTAATTAAAATTTTTTTTTTTCACTAAAGTTTTATATACAATTTTTAATTTTTTTAAATACATTATAACTTATGACTAGTGTAAAATATTAATTTTAAAAAATCTAACAGGGTTATATACTTTTACACTAGTATAAAAATTGCTTATATACAGGCAGGAGGTGCCGCAGGAACATTCGTTGATGTTGCATTATTTCCATTAGATACGTTGAAAACTCGATTACAGAGTTCATATGGATTTTCAAGAGCAGGTGGGTTTATGGGTCTTTACAAAGGAATTTGTCCAGTTATAATTGGTTCAGCTCCAACAGGTAATGCTCCGCAATATTTATCCGCAATCAATTTAAAATTTATTTACATGTTCTTATCTCCACATACTTCACATTTTAGCTGCTCTATTTTTCTTAACATATGAGGAAATTAAAATTATAATGCAACCAAAAATTTCTGTAAAGTATTGTACTGTACTTCACATGGGAGCAGCAACATTTGCAGAAATGGTACTACATTAATAATTATTGTTTCCATATAATATTTATAGTAAAAAAAATTAACAAGAAAAAAAATAAAACATTGCTTTGTACAACTTGATAAGTTGTCCAAAGTTCTCTCGAGGCTCAAAGTGTACTAATTTCAAAGTCAAAATTGCCTAAAATCAATTATGAAATTTATAAAGTTAATTGAATGGGTGGCTGAAAAAACGTGTGTGTATTACAAATTTAACAAATATTTTTTTAGGAAAAAACATTAAATATAATTATACTGAAACAATCGTGTATTCATTTAACTTTTGCTTAAAAACCGGTATTACAGTGTTTCACAGTTTGAATTTCACCTTCATTTTTAGTGAAAGAATGTTGAATTACAATACTAATATCTGAAATACATCTGATAGTGGATAGGTGCGAATATCGTGGAAAACATTGTATATAAATTAAAGTACTGTGAATAGCTCTTAAGTATATAAACGTGCGTAGTATTCTTAGTTTCTTTATATTTATATAAAATTTATAAAATGTAATGTGCAATGTATTTTTAGCCACTTATAGATTATTCAATTATAGATTGAAGATTGTTTTAATTTGTTTAATTAATTCGTCTTTTGAATCATTTCGAAAAACATTCATATTAATCATATTACTTTAAGCAGGTAGCGTGTTTGATACGAGTGCCAGTAGAAGTCACAAAACAAAGAAAACAGGCACTAATATTGGATAAAAAATTACTCGATCTTAAAATACTATATCGTGGATACTGGAGCACAGTGTTGCGAGACACGCCTTTTAGCATTGTACAGTTTCCATTGTGGGAATATTTGAAAACGCTTTATACTTGTCACATTGAAAGAAAAATACATCCTATGGAAAGTGCGATTTGCGGCGCAATTTCAGGTTTTGAGATACACACATGTCAAAAAATAAAAAAATAAATAAATTAGTCTTCTATAAATAGATTACTCTTCTTAATTTTTTATATGTAATAATAATGCAATATAATAATTTTAGGAGGCATCTCCGCAGCCGTTACGACTCCGTTGGATGTTGCAAAAACGAGGATAATGCTCGCCAATACAACATTACTTTCGTCAGAATTGAAAATATTGAATGTACTTCATAATGTATATATAGAAAACGGTTTCCGTGGGTGAGTTTTTTTCGCAACTTTTTTTCTTTTCTGAAAGTAAAGTTAGCAATTTTAAATGTCTCTATTTAAAATTTATGTATTTTATCTAGATAAAAATAGAGATATTTAAAATATATGTAGAGAGAGGGAGAGAGAGAGAAAGGGAGAGAGAGAGAGAGAGGAGGAGAGAGAGAGAGAGAGAGGAGGAGGAGGGAGGGA